GTCTCTGATGCTTCAGACATATTGTCAGGAGGGACCAGTCACTGGGGAAGGATGTCATGTAAGGTGGTGGGTCAGAGAAAAAGAGGAAGACCCCCGGTGAGATGTATTGGCCAAGTGGCAGCATCAGTGGGCTCAAGCGTGGCAACAATTGTGAGGTTGGCCCAGGACCAGGTAGTTTTCATTTTGTTGTGCATAGGGTCCCTATGAGTTGGTACCTACTTGATGGCACCTTACAACAACAACATACTTGGACAGAGAACTGCCAGAAATCCAAGCCACATTCAGAAGAGGATATGGAACAGGGATATAACTGCTGACATTAAGATGGATCTTTGCTGAAAGCAGAGAACACCAGAAAGATGTTTATTAGTGCTTTATTGACTGTGCAAAGGCACTGGACTGTGTGGATCACAGCAAACAATGGATAGCACTGTAAAGAATAGGTATTCCAGAATACTTATCTGTGCTTATGAGGTACATGTATACAGACCAAGAGGCAGTTGTTGAAACAGAACAAGGGGATACTGCATGCTTTAAAATCAGGTAAGTTGTATGCCAATAATACATTCTTTTACCATACTTATTCAATCTGTATGCTGAGCAAATTATCTGAAAAGTTAGATTATAAGAAGTAAAACATTGCATCCAGATGGGAGGAAGACCCATTCACAGCCTGTGATATGCAGATGATACAATCTTTCTTGCTAGAAGAAAAGAGTACTTAAAATATTCACTGTAATAGTTAGGGTTCTGGAGTGACTTGACTAGGCCAGGATTCCCAGGGTGATAAAACCTAATACAGGCATAATTAACACTATGATGATTGGCTATGTGCAACCAATCAACTGAAAGGATGTTTCCTTGGGTGAGTGGCCTGATCCCATTATAATGGACAAGCAGAAAAGGCTCGCTCTCTCTCTTCTGCTGGGGACATGTTGTTTGTTGTTGTTAAGTGCCGTCAAGTCGGTTCCGACCCATAGCGACCCTGTACAGGGTTTCTGAGGGTGTAAATCCTTACGGGAGTAGAAAGCCTCATCTTTCTCCCGCGGAGCGGCTGGTAGTTTCGAACCGCTGACCTTAAGGTTCACAGCCCGATTCGTAACCACTATGCTACCAGAGCTCCTTATTGTTAAATACCATGGAGTCAGTTCCAACTCATAGTGACCCTACACATGGTTTCTGAGGCTGTAAATTTTTATAGGAGTAGAATGACTCATCTTTCTCCCTTTCGAACTGCTGACCTTGAGGTTGGTAGCCTGACTCATAATCACTATGCTACCAGAGCTACATATATATTCATATTTGTAAAAAACTCAGCCTAATACATGTGGTAGCAAGAGAGGAGTTCTAGAGAAACAAAACCTAAATTGGTTCTCAAGTCTGACTACTTTTAAAGGCACTGATACACAGTGGAGGCATGTTTGGCCCGCACCTCATAGGAATCGGCCTCGAGCTGATTGTTAATGTGATTTTGTGAAGACAGAGGAGGTAGGGCTCGGTCTCCCTGTGGTTTCTGCAGTTGGCATCAGGAGTGGAATTTATTGTAATGGCACCAGACTCATGGAAACATGAGGTTTTCTAAGAGAAACAACCAAGGGGATGGAAGTGAAACTTTTGATGTTTAGATAGTTTGGATTTTATTATCTGTAGTGACTGAAAGGAACGTAGGGAATAAAATACTTAAGCAGAGGGGAGAGCAACAGCTTCTGGAGTTGCCTGAAATAGATGGTTCATAGGGGGCCAGGGCCTACTGGAATCCACCCTGCCAGAGGCCCAAGGCCATATGCATAGGAATGGGGTTAGTCTAAGGAAGAAGAAAAGATTGAACTTGAGTGTTTTTAACAGGTTCATGTGTTTGACTGCCTTTTAGGTATTGATTTCTCCTGCCTATTATTATAAGATGGAGTCCTGGTGTGGTGCTGTGGGTTAATGCACTAGACAACAAAGTCAGTCTGGACAACAAAGTCAGTTTGAACTGCTAGGTATACAGGGTCATTATGGGTTGGAACCGGTTTAATGACAATTAACAACAACAACAAATAAGATAGACATTCAGGTGTGATAGAAATGAATAGTAGGAATTATGATTACAGAGAGCTTGTAAGCCCACCTTCAGCGTATTCTTGCCTGGCTTTGCTAAATGTAGAGTTAGAATTTACCCAGAAAGAAACAGGCTTTTTGCTTAAAGCTTTTCTAAAGTATGGAACCTTAGATGGAATTCCGAGCCCCACCCAGAACCTTCAGAGTTGGAACATTTGCATTTGAAAAGACATGCAGACCAATCCAGAACTGAGGAGAGAATAGGAGATTCAAGATGGAAAGAAAGCAGAGAAAAAAAGTGGACTGTTTCCAAAAAAAGCTTGTTTCAAGCAAGCTGTTTGCCTTGGAGGCATCAAGGCCAGAAAAGTCTGTGCCCAGCAGAGAAAAATCCCCTTCTAGGACTGAAGTTAGAGAGAACAGGTGAGCCATGTGCTCACTGGTGACCATAGAGTTTACTTGGGAGTGGAAGTGGGGAAATGCAGTACTGAAGGCACAGGCTGACTTTGGACATGCTCTGTTGGCACTCATTGACTTTGAGATGAGAGAAAGAAGAGGAAGAGCTGGCTGGTCTGAAGTTTAGGGAGTAGTGTGAACTCCTGAGTCCATGGGCACTGACCTAGCCCTTGGGAGCTCGGGCTGAGAGGGAATCGGCCAGCTGGTCTGATGTGCAGGGAGGTGTGCATGAACTCCCCA